TTTGAGACTCCTTATTATAATTATCCGATTTACCTCCCCATGTTTAAGATATAATGTCCATTAATTAATTCGATCACTAATAATAAGAATTAATTAATATATTATATTACCAACGCTAGCGCTCGCTCATAGCATTCATATTATGCCGGAATAAATCCACCTGCAGGGTTTAGCATAATATTCCTTCATGAACTCACTTCGGGGACATCATCAGACTAACGCACATGGTGATCGTAAATATCCTAATAGCACATCGAACACATAATGTCATTACCCAATTCATTAAGTATGTCGACCCGGCTTGGATCTCACCCAAAGAATCAAAGTAACAACAATTATGTGCACATGCCTATTTAATATCTTACGGGTTAAGAACACGCAATAATTAACTGAGGCCTAGTTCGTTTACGACGATCAGTATAAAACGAACATCCCTCTCTGGGATCCTGTTCAATACATAAAAGTACTAGTGCAACTAATCGGTCAAGACAAACTGTACGGTTGACACTACAACCGTCTGATGGGTTGTTCAATTCCATCTAGGTTGTGAACCAATGATTCTTGTTTCGCAAGTAACTGATATAGTAATCTTCGGTACGCCCGATGACGACCCACTTATCTACATGCAAAACAACAGAACGTGAAACTTATTTAACCAAACATAATTCTCATTCATCAAGAAATAACAAGTGTAATATCCACTAAAGCAAAGCTTAAGTATATAACACCAACAGTATTACCTAATGCAGGGATTGCCTCGTAGCACCACACTAGAAACGCCTAGTGAAATCCGTAGATATGATATTTCATTTTATTGTACTGGGCCGTCTTCAGTAGTCAAGAAGGTACGGAAACGAGTAACTCCCCCATGGGAATTTCTCCCACATCTGGTCTTCCTCGAGCAAAGCCCACTAGCAGGTATCAATATACCGAGGCTTCTTGTCATCGTCAGGAATGATAAAGTACATTAGCATTAGCATCTTTGCCTCTCTCACTATCACATCTCGAGAGTGACGGAACTGCCCCGCCTTGAAGTTATCACGCAACTGCTGCATAGTGATCCGCTTGCCTTTATATTTCTCATAGAAAATCGACGATGGAGGAGGAGGAGGCACTGAGTTTGGGTCAAACGCAGACGATCCAAAAGCAAGCCCAGTCACCACAACATACTCATGGGCGGAGAATCGGGTAAAATGGTTACAATATGGAACCACATCTCGTTCGGGTTATGACCGCCACTAGTCACCTCGCGCGAAAGAACTCCATGCATTGCCCTTGCAGAGACATTAGCCTTATAACCAAATTGGTGGAACAGACCAAAGACCGACCCTGGAAAGCAACTAAGGCTTCTTCAACGAGGCCTAACTCGTTCTTGATATCAGAAAATATTCACTGCCGGCTGTAAACATTGATCTTCAGCCCTTCATATTTATTGATTAGGCCCTGTCTCTTGTACGACAACAAATATTAAACAATCGCATTGTTGTTGTTGTTGTTAATTATTCAAATCAAATTACTTATACATTATCAAATAAAAACAACTATTTCTCAACTATTAAAGCAGATGAAATTAAATAACTTAAAATAAATAATTGCAACAAATGGAAGTTACCTCTCCAAAAGAGATGGCCATCAGACCCGTGCCTTCAGTCGCTAAGTCGCGGCCCGCCATACCCGTTACGGCAGCCGTTGAGTCACCGGCCCCTGTAGCCGCTATTAGGGCACCCGCTTGGCCGACCGCCACAAGAAAAGCTTGATTCGTGAAATCTTCAGAATCTCTTAAGAAGGCCATGAAGTCGTTCTCGTTCATCATTGTTGGTTCTTTTTTTCTTTTAATTTCTAACAGTTCTTTTACTTCTAACTAT